GGAACAAGCGCTTCCCATAGGGACCAAAGCTTGAATTTCAACACAGTGAAAACGTTCCATTGCATGTTGTCTGAGTCTGATTTAATCATTTTCTTAGAAAGACAAACACAAAACAAAACAAAACACAATCAGAGAGACAGGAAACTCCAAATCTTTCCAGATTTTTTTTTTTTTTTTTTTGGCATGGGGAATCGAACTCCCTCGCCAGGTAAGCACTGTGCCACTCAACTATATCCCTGAGGGATGCCCTCTCAAAGCTTCATGTGATCACTGGTGGGATTTTTGGGAGGTGACTGGATCATGGGGGCCCGATAGTCAATAATGGTTTATTCCATTGGTCAGTTGATAGCTAAATATAACATTGGGAGGTAAAGCCTGGCAGGAGGAGGTGCGTCACCAGGGGCATGGCCTGGAAGGGTATAATATCTCCCTCCCTCCTCCCTTCATCTCCGTTTCCCATGTGCCGTGCCATGAGCAGTTTTCCCTCAGCCAGGTCCCTCTTCCATGCTGCCCTGCCTTGGAGCCAGTGGACTATGGACTGAAACCTCTAACTGTGAGCTAAAATAAACGCTTCCTCCTGTAAGTTATGGGTGTCGGGTATTGTGGGCCTGCAATGAGGAAAGTAACTAAGACAGTGGGATATAATTAAACCGCTTTAACAAATGTTTTGCCTGATCCCGGCTATTTCACAACTCAGTTAATAGCCTGGGTTTTAGGCCCACACTCTTGTTTTGCCTAACACAGTAAGTGTGTCATCCCTGAAGGTGAACAACCGTGTTAACTTTGTGCTTGTGAAATGGCTCTATGGCGCTTCTCTGTGCCCTCCTCGAGGGCAAATTTGGTTTCCCGGGCTCAGAATTTAAGTATGCCACGAAGTAGGCAGCTCGATAAGCTTTTGTACTTTCCAACTGGAGGCAGTACTGAATGCTTTTGTGTTACTAACAGGGCCAGACACTGAAACAAGCTCTATCTAATTCTCTTAAAAGAAAAATCACCCTGAGCCAGCCTGGCCAGTCCTTAAATTTCCAACCAGTGTCTGTTATTCACCGTGCCAGGAGCTTCCCACGTCTTCACCTCTATCAAATCTCCTCCCTCAACAACTTGTAGATCTTTAGTGCTGGCTAAGTCTTGGCCGGGACTGCGTATTATGCGATAACTCTTATGATCTTTGTATTCTTTTTAAAATTGAGTTATTTGTTCATGAAGTGCCTAGGGCGCGCTTAACCTGAAGTGTACAGCTGAGTGAATCCCTGCATATGCAAACCCCTCTAGCTACCACCCAGATCAAGGAAATGAACATTTCCACATACAGCTGGGGTTCCTTGCGCTGCTTCCCACATAACATGTCCCCATCCCTCGGAGGTAACCATCATTCTAACTTCTCTCATCATCCCTAAGTTTGGAGGAAGCGGTAAGTGGGATGATTTGGCCCCCAGGGCCGTGGGGCCGGATGACACCCTGAGTCGGGTCCTCCCTACCAGAGCTTCTCCCCGCGAGATTCCCGGGTCCACAGAGCGATGGCTCCGCCCTCACCAACCCGGACCAAGCTGGTAGTTCTCTGAGGGCGCCCCGGGGTTCCCTCAAAAGGCGCGACGGGCTCCACGTAGGCAGCGCGGGAGACGACACAATGGCTGCCCCGCCGGCACCCCGAGCCCCGCGCCTCTCCCACGGGCGCCCGCTAGAGCCCCGAGCAGTCGGGCGTGGCGCTGGGCGCGACCCGGGGCACACGAGCGGCCATGGGTGGCGCTGCGGGGCCTAGGATGTGGGGCGCACGCCCATTGGCTGAGCTTTCCCCCGCCGGCCGCCACGGCGCCCACCTCCGGAGCCTCTCTCCGCGCCCCCATTGGCCGTTTGCTTCTCACTGGCGCTCGCTCCCGCCCCCCCCTCCCCGATGGAAACTAGCGGGGGGTGGAAGGCTGGAGCTGGGACGAGGGTGAGTGGTCCTCCCCGGGAGGGTGCGCGAGACAGCCAATCGGCAGCGGACGTGGAAGGGGGGCGCAGCTCCAGCCATTTACGTGCCGAGGAGCGGTCGAAGTTGATGACGCAATCACAGGCCACAGCCAATGGGCAAGCGGCTATCTGTCCGCTCTACAGCAGCCGGTCGGGGGCGGTGGAAACGCGAGTGAGGAGAGCCCGAAGGTGGCGGCGCGCAGCCTTCCCTGAGGTGCCAGGAAACAGCGAGGCCTGAGTCTTTGCTTAGGTGAGAGGCAGGGGCGCCGCTGGAGGGCCGGGCCGCGGGCTCTTCTGTCCGGCCCGGCAGCGGCTGAGGGAGCCGGGGGCAGGGCCGAGGTGGGGCCGCCGCCCCGCCCCCGCCCTCTGCCTCGCCCGCCCGGAGCGGGGGCGCCCTCCTCGGCCCGTATGGTCCCTGCGTGGCGTGGCCGGGCCGCCGCCCTCCCGGAGCCGGGACAGCCAGGGCGACGTGGTGAGGGGCCTGGCCCTCGGTTGCGGCGCCCGGGGCCCCGCCCGGGGTGGGAGGCCGCGTAGAGGTGGCGAAGGTGGGCCGGGTGGTTAACGGGGAGCGGGCTCGCGTGCGGGAGGGAGGGTGGCGGCGAACGGAGGCCTGTGTGGGGGAGGATTCCGGTTGCTGGAGACGAAGAAAGTCCTGCGGAGAGGTGATGCTCCGAAGAGTGTGTTCTGGAAGACGGCTCGGGGCCGGGGAGTGTGTTTTCTCGGGAGTAGGTATCCATAGGGGTTGGGGGGAAATCTGCTGGGAGCCGAGGGGGAGCAGGCGTGGGGTTTGAAGGTTAAGGTCTCTGGACCAATGGGAGCACGTGGATCCTGAGTGCGAGGCGCGCCTTCTGAAACCGGAAGGTGACTAGGGGCAGAGGTGTTAGCTGTGGTGTGAGGTGGAGGCTCGCTAGGAGGCGTCATTTGGCCAGTTAGAAAGTACACACCTAACGAGCGAGGTAGATTTATGTGTAACAGGTGAGGGCTGTGAATCTTTTATGACTAGTTGAGCAAGAACAGAGTTAAGGGGAGCCCCAGGTAGGAGCCAGATTTATGGATTCATTCACTGTTCGTGATAGGCCCCTCCCTCTGATTTGTTAATTCTCACTCCTGAGGTTGATCTCCCTCCTCGCCGTTCCTTCCACAGTGTGGACAGTGCGTTTAATTGTTTGGCCTCAGCAGCACACAGACTTAGCCTCTTAGGAAAGAAACTGACATAGTTTGCTTTTGATTGCATGTCGGTGAGCAATAGCTTAATTCTTCACATTAAAAGAGTAGAGCATGTTTAAAGGCAACATCAGAATATAGTTTGGGAAAACCTGCCCTACAGGGAAGTTCTTCATTAATCTTGTTGAGTATGTGTAATGCAGCATAAAAATGATGTAAGATTTCTTACGGTGGAACAGAATTCGTGTGTAATTTTGTAAGTTCTGTTATTTTATAGGATGAACTTTTTTGATGCAGTGGAATTTGATTATGTGTTGTTTGAGAAATTTCTCAGCCTTAAGAAGTTTTGTAACTAAATGGAACTAAAATTTTTTTCACTCAGGAAGGAAAGACTGGTAATTTTGTATCAGTGCTACTTGCCTTTCTGTTTGAAATTTTTGGACTGTTCATTTTTGGGAAGTGGGAAGAGATTGGGGAAAAGAAGAGGTGGTGGAAAGGTGGTCCACTACCACTGGCAGATTTAAATGATAGCACTGATTTGTATTGTGCGTGTTACCTTCTCAAGGACAAAAACCAAAGAGAGCAGTTGTTGTATAGGAGGTTTCCTTGATCACTAGATGAACAAAAACATTTAAATAATGGGTCATTTTTTGGGGTGTAGAAATAGTTTTGTGGAAGTTTTTTTCTTGGTTTTTCTGTGATCAGTGTTACTTTTAGTACAAGAGAATACCTAAATGCTGAGGCCTCTTGGAGCAGAGAAATAATCTAGCTGGTGTGGGGATAATTAGGAAAGATTTCCTGAAAAAGGTGAGGGTCGAGCCGTTATTGGAACTAGCAGTTGGGGTATGGGTTATTGAAAGGTAAGAATGACAGTCCAGTTATTGGGCATGGTATAAACAACTATGGATAAGAATCATAGATGAAAAATGGTTTTTAAAGAGAATTGAAGATCTGAGTGGACACTTAGGATTGTGAGAATCAACTGAACATTTTGTTGCAACTTAGTTGGTAAATGGTAATTCTTTGTGGTAGTTCGCAGAGAAGAATTAGGTCAGTTGATGTGTTGAAAGTAGGCAATAAAGTGCACAAAATATTTCTGATAAGACAGTATTGAAAATAAATTGGATTATCAAGAAGTACATATGATAGTCTTAACACAATATTTAGAAATATTTTTGAGTCTTATACTAGATCATATTGATAGTAACAGCAAAATTTATTGGGTGCTATTTTGTGCCAGACACTGTTTTGAGCTTTCCAGGTAGCATCTTCTTTTGATTGTACTTTATAGGTGAAGGATATGAGATTCAGAGACATTCAACTGGCCCAAATTTATTTCTGCATGCCCAGATTTATAAGAGGGTAGGTCAGGATTGGTAGTCAGCCAGTAAACCTTAATTGAGCGTGTACTGGATGCTAGGCAGTATGCTGTGTGCTGGGGACTCATATTTGACAAAATCCAAAAGTCAGGCCTGAGTAATTTTAAAGATATTGTTAAAGGACAGCAGTGAAGGGGGAGAAAATCACTTGGAGAGATGTTTATAGATACTGGGGAGTAAGTTGTTTCAAGAAAACCGTGACTAGGCCAGGCGAGGTGGAGCTTGACTGTAATTCCAGCACTCAGGAGGCTGAGGCAGGAGGATCATTGCAAGTTCGAGACCAGCCTGGGCTACAGTGAGCTAAAGGCCAGCCTGAACTGTATAGTGAGACGGTGTCTCAAAAAGACCAAAAAAAAAAAAAAAAAGGAAAACCATAACTAAAGAATTTTAAGGATGAAAGAAATGTTCATTAACAAACTGCGTATTTAGCTGGCTAAAAAGAACACTGAGAAAAACTATTGAGTTAGGGACAGAAGAAATGTGGAGATAGTCTTAGTAAGGCTGGATGAAAGATACAAAGGTATGGGCCAATAATATTGCTTAGTGACAGGTACTTTCTACAAATTTAAGTATTCCATATGATCACAATTGTGATCAAATACGTAATTCATAGGAAAGATTATAATAGAGCCCCTTATAACCCAATAATCATTGGCTAGAAAGACTCCAAGTGATTTTAAAATACTTTGCATTAACAAATTTCTAAAAATGAGCATTGTTTTTAGAATTAAAAGGGTAAAAATCACTCAACAGAAATGAGCTATTTAGGAGCTGTGTAGTTCTGAATTTGGGGTGCAAGAGTGGTCTTGTTTTAGTATCTACTCCAAATGAGCCATTTTATCAGACCTGCCTTCTTCTTGGAAATGTCTGGGTTGTTAATGGGTAGGAACTGAAACCATGCATACTGAAAGTTGGTATTTGCTTAATCAGGGCTATCAGATTACTAAAGCACCCTCAGTTGAAGGGATAGGACTTGACTCACCTGAACACTTGTTTTTTAAGAGTTTAACCAATGAATTTAAGGTAAAAAGAAAACAAACCACTCATAGGATTGAGTCATTTTAACTTTCTGCTGATTTTATAGCTTTCTTTTCTCGTGCATTGGTCCCATGGTTCCTCTCTTTCCAAAGTTTGTAATGGGCTTAGAGTTTTGAAAGTTCAGTAAAACAGTATCAAAGTGCTGAATTTTGAATTGATCAGCTTAAGCATTTAGAAATTCATCACTGTTTTCTGTTCCCAATTTGAAGAACAGAGACAAATGTTAAGAAAATAAGCTTTACAGCTAGACCTAGTAGCACACACCTGTAACCCCTGTTACTCAGGAGGCTAAGGCAGGAGGCTCTCAAGTTTGAGGGCAGCCAGGACAATTTAGCAAGAAATGACTCCAAATAAAATTTAAAAAGAGATCTGGGGATGTAGCTCAATGCTTCTTGGGTTCAGTCCTTCGTACAGGGTGAAAAAAAATAAGCTTTTCTTACCAACTATTTTCAAGCAAACTAGTAAGGATTTGCCTTTGGATCAGTGCAGATTGATTTTAGTCTCCTAAATGTGGAAGGAGAAATCTTGAAAATCAATCTGTTTGTTTATTTTGCAGTACTAGGGCTTGGACCACTGAGCCACACCTCCAGCCCATTTTGAGACAGGGTCTGAGTAGGTAGTAAAGTTGTCCAGGATGGGCTTGAACTTGGTGTCCTTTTCCCTCAGCCTCTTAGCGGGCTGGAATTACAAGCATGTGCCACCACACTAGTCTTCTAGCTTTTGTTTTAATTTCATTTTGTCTATAGGGATTATGGGAGTAAACAATGAAATGTCTGTTTCATGTAGGCATTATATTCCTTAAATGATGACATTTAATTTTTATATAGTTCTCTTGCGTGTGTCTCATTTTACAGATGAGGAGAATGAAATTTGGAGAAATAAGTAACTTTCTGAGGATTGTAGAGCCAAGCTGGAGGAGCTAGCAGTCAAACCTTGTTTTGTCTAACTCTAAAACTCATGAAACAAGTAACAAGGACTTGTTAATTCCTATACTTGAAAAAAAATGCCACATAATCTGAGATATTTAGTAACTGATATTTAGTTTATTACTTTAGAAGTGGTACTCTTGCTCCAAGTTTTGTGCCTTGTGACACTGCCTCTAAATAAGTGATACTAATTTTAACATGTTTAAAATGTAACAGGGTGCATTATGTTACATTTTCTTGCTTTCTTGCTTGGTAATAGTTGAAAGACATATTACCATTAAAGTATTCCTTCTTCCTTCAAACACAGTGTCATTCTTACCACTTTCTGAAGCAGTTCTGGAAGTCCTCTTTCATGAGTGTCTTCAGTTGCACTGGATGCTTTGATGCTCTGAGTTGATTGAAAATATTTATCATTTATGGTCATTTTGACTTTAGAAAGAGCTAGAAACTGCACAGTGCCAGTTCTGGTGATTAAGATGGTTGAAGATACACTAATTTTTTTTTCAAGTTGCTTTTCCATTGGTTGATGCCTGGCATCAGCATTCACCATATTTTTGATCACATCCTTTAAAGATGCTCACAAACTTACAGAACTGCTTTAGAAGGTGGCAAAAGTGATGGAATTAGATTGTTCTAAGAAAGGGAGAGTATTTTGATTGGAACTAATGAATGGCAATGTCTTTTAGCTGTAGTAATTTTTATTTAAACATTCACTGCTTGAGTATACCTTGTATATTTTCACATTTTAATATTTGTTGAAATGTATTTTACAATGTCTATTTCAAAATGTTTATGAAATGGATACTGTGTGTTGAAGTCATTGTCTCAACTGAGGAAGAATAGTAGATTCATAAAGCTTTCATATATAACCATTTCATGATCACTTTCTTCCCAGGCTATCCCCCTTTACTTATCGTATTACTTTTTAAAAATATAAGATATGATATTAAATTGAAGCGTATATTAATAGTTCATTTTCTTTAATATTATGAGGTATAAAAAGTGTCATAATGCAGAAAATTCACATTGAATTGTGAA